ATGGCACTTCGAGGCCTGCTTCATCTAATGGCACTTCAAGGCCTGCTTCATCTAATGGCACTTCGAGACCTGCTTCATCTAATGGCACTTCGAGACCTGCTTCATCTAATGACACTTCGAGGCCTGCTTCATCTAATGGCACTTCGAGGCCTGCTTCATCTAATGGCACTTCGAGGCCTGCTTCATCTAATGACACTTCGAGACCTGCTTCATCTAATGCCACTTCGAGGCCTGCTTCATCTAATGGCACTTCGAGGCCTGCTTCATCTAATGACACTTCGAGACCTGCTTCATCTAATGCCACTTCGAGGCCTGCTTCATCTAATGGCACTTCGAGGCCTGCTTCATCTAATGGCACTTCGAGGCCTGCTTCATCTAATGGCACTTCGAGGCCTGCTTCATCTAATGGCACTTCGAGGCCTGCTTCATCTAATGGCACTTCGAGACCTGCTTCATCTAATGGCACTTCGAGGCCTGCTTCATCTAATGGCACTTCGAGGCCTGCTTCATCTAATGGCACTTCGAGGCCTGCTTCATCTAATGGCACTTCGAGGCCTGCTTCATCTAATGGCACTTCGAGGCCTGCTTCATCTAATGGCACTTCGAGGCCTGCTTCATCTAATGGCACTTCGAGACCTGCTTCATCTAATGGCACTTCGAGGCCTGCTTCATCTAATGGCACTTCGAGGCCTGCTTCATCTAATGGCACTTCGAGACCTGCTTCATCTAATGGCACTTCGAGGCCTGCTTCATCTAATGGCACTTCGAGGCCTGCTTCATCTAATGGCACTTCGAGGCCTGCTTCATCTAATGGCACTTGGAGGCCTGCTTCATGTAATGGCACTTCGAGGCCTGCTTCATCTAATGGCACTTCGAGGCCTGCTTCATCTAATGGCACTTCGAGACCTGCTTCATCTAATGGCACTTCGAGGCCTGCTTCATCTAATGGCACTTCGAGGCCTGCTTCATCTAATGGCACTTCGAGGCCTGCTTCATCTAATGGCACTTCGAGGCCTGCTTCATCTAATGGCACTTCGAGACCTGCTTCATCTAATGGCACTTCGAGACCTGCTTCATCTAATGGCACTTCGAGGCCTGCTTCATCTAATGGCACTTCGAGGCCTGCTTCATCTAATGGCACTTCGAGGCCTGCTTCATCTAATGGCACTTCGAGGCCTGCTTCATCTAATGGCACTTCGAGGCCTGCTTCATCTAATGGCACTTCGAGGCCTGCTTCATCTAATGGCACTTCGAGGCCTGCTTCATCTAATGGCACTTCGAGGCCTGCTTCATCTAATGGCACTTCGAGACCTGCTTCATCTAATGGCACTTCGAGACCTGCTTCATCTAATGGCACTTCGAGGCCTGCTTCATCTAATGGCACTTCGAGGCCTGCTTCATCTAATGGCACTTCGAGGCCTGCTTCATCTAATGGCACTTCGAGGCCTGCTTCATCTAATGGCACTTCGAGACCTGCTTCATCTAATGGCACTTCGAGACCTGCTTCATCTAATGACACTTCGAGGCCTGCTTCATCTAATGGCACTTCGAGGCCTGCTTCATCTAATGGCACTTCGAGGCCTGCTTCATCTAATGACACTTCGAGACCTGCTTCATCTAATGCCACTTCGAGGCCTGCTTCATCTAATGGCACTTCGAGGCCTGCTTCATCTAATGGCACTTCGAGGCCTGCTTCATCTAATGGCACTTCGAGGCCTGCTTCATCTAATGGCACTTCGAGGCCTGCTTCATCTAATGGCACTTCGAGGCCTGCTTCATCTAATGGCACTTCGAGGCCTGCTTCATCTAATGGCACTTCGAGACCTGCTTCATCTAATGGCACTTCGAGGCCTGCTTCATCTAATGGCACTTCGAGGCCTGCTTCATCTAATGGCACTTCGAGACCTGCTTCATCTAATGGCACTTCGAGGCCTGCTTCATCTAATGGCACTTCGAGGCCTGCTTCATCTAATGGCACTTCGAGGCCTGCTTCATCTAATGGCACTTCGAGGCCTGCTTCATCTAATGGCACTTCGAGACCTGCTTCATCTAATGGCACTTCGAGACCTGCTTCATCTAATGGCACTTCGAGGCCTGCTTCATCTAATGGCACTTCGAGGCCTGCTTCATCTAATGGCACTTCGAGGCCTGCTTCATCTAATGGCACTTCGAGGCCTGCTTCATCTAATGGCACTTCGAGGCCTGCTTCATCTAATGGCACTTCGAGGCCTGCTTCATCTAATGGCACTTGGAGGCCTGCTTCATCTAATGGCACTTCGAGACCTGCTTCATCTAATGGCACTTCGAGGCCTGCTTCATCTAATGGCACTTCGAGGCCTGCTTCATCTAATGGCACTTCGAGACCTGCTTCATCTAATGGCACTTCGAGGCCTGCTTCATCTAATGGCACTTCGAGGCCTGCTTCATCTAATGGCACTTCGAGGCCTGCTTCATCTAATGGCACTTGGAGGCCTGCTTCATCTAATGGCACTTCGAGGCCTGCTTCATCTAATGGCACTTCGAGGCCTGCTTCATCTAATGGCACTTCGAGACCTGCTTCATCTAATGGCACTTCGAGGCCTGCTTCATCTAATGGCACTTCGAGGCCTGCTTCATCTAATGGCACTTCGAGGCCTGCTTCATCTAATGGCACTTCGAGGCCTGCTTCATCTAATGGCACTTCGAGACCTGCTTCATCTAATGGCACTTCGAGACCTGCTTCATCTAATGGCACTTCGAGGCCTGCTTCATCTAATGGCACTTCGAGGCCTGCTTCATCTAATGGCACTTCGAGGCCTGCTTCATCTAATGGCACTTCGAGGCCTGCTTCATCTAATGGCACTTCGAGGCCTGCTTCATCTAATGGCACTTCGAGGCCTGCTTCATCTAATGGCACTTCGAGGCCTGCTTCATCTAATGGCACTTCGAGGCCTGCTTCATCTAATGGCACTTCGAGACCTGCTTCATCTAATGGCACTTCGAGACCTGCTTCATCTAATGGCACTTCGAGGCCTGCTTCATCTAATGGCACTTCGAGGCCTGCTTCATCTAATGGCACTTCGAGGCCTGCTTCATCTAATGGCACTTCGAGGCCTGCTTCATCTAATGGCACTTCGAGGCCTGCTTCATCTAATGGCACTTCGAGGCCTGCTTCATCTAATGGCACTTGGAGGCCTGCTTCATCTAATGGCACTTCGAGGCCTGCTTCATCTAATGGCACTTCGAGGCCTGCTTCATCTAATGGCACTTCGAGACCTGCTTCATCTAATGGCACTTCGAGGCCTGCTTCATCTAATGGCACTTCGAGGCCTGCTTCATCTAATGGCACTTCGAGGCCTGCTTCATCTAATGGCACTTCGAGACCTGCTTCATCTAATGGCACTTCGAGGCCTGCTTCATCTAATGGCACTTCGAAACCTACTTCATCTAATGGCACTTCGAGGCCTGCTTCATCTAATGGCACTTCGAGGCCTGCTTCATCTAATGGCACTTCGAGGCCTGCTTCATCTAATGGCACTTCGAGGCCTGCTTCATCTAATGGCACTTCGAGACCTGCTTCATCTAATGGCACTTCGAGACCTGCTTCATCTAATGGCACTTCGAGGCCTGCTTCATCTAATGGCACTTCGAGGCCTGCTTCATCTAATGGCACTTCGAGGCCTGCTTCATCTAATGGCACTTCGAGGCCTGCTTCATCTAATGGCACTTCGAGGCCTGCTTCATCTAATGGCACTTCGAGGCCTGCTTCATCTAATGGCACTTGGAGGCCTGCTTCATCTAATGGCACTTCGAGACCTGCTTCATCTAATGGCACTTCGAGGCCTGCTTCATCTAATGGCACTTCGAGGCCTGCTTCATCTAATGGCACTTCGAGGCCTGCTTCATCTAATGGCACTTCGAGGCCTGCTTCATCTAATGGCACTTCGAGGCCTGCTTCATCTAATGGCACTTCGAGGCCTGCTTCATCTAATGGCACTTGGAGGCCTGCTTCATCTAATGGCACTTCGAGGCCTGCTTCATCTAATGGCACTTCGAGGCCTGCTTCATCTAATGGCACTTCGAGGCCTGCTTCATCTAATGGCACTTCGAGGCCTGCTTCATCTAATGGCACTTCGAGGCCTGCTTCATCTAATGGCACTTCGAGGCCTGCTTCATCTAATGGCACTTCGAGGCCTGCTTCATCTAATGGCACTTCGAGGCCTGCTTCATCTAATGGCACTTCGAGGCCTGCTTCATCTAATGGCACTTGGAGGCCTGCTTCATCTAATGGCACTTCGAGACCTGCTTCATCTAATGGCACTTCGAGGCCTGCTTCATCTAATGGCACTTCGAGGCCTGCTTCATCTAATGGCACTTCGAGACCTGCTTCATCTAATGGCACTTCGAGGCTTGCTTCATCTAATGGCACTTCGAGGCCTGCTTCATCTAATGGCACTTCGAGGCCTGCTTCATCTAATGGCACTTGGAGGCCTGCTTCATCTAATGGCACTTCGAGGCCTGCTTCATCTAATGGCACTTCGAGGCCTGCTTCATCTAATGGCACTTCGAGGCCTGCTTCATCTAATGGCACTTCGAGGCCTGCTTCATCTAATGGCACTTCGAGGCCTGCTTCATCTAATGGCACTTCGAGGCCTGCTTCATCTAATGGCACTTCGAGGCCTGCTTCATCTAATGGCACTTCGAGGCCTGCTTCATCTAATGGCACTTCGAGGCCTGCTTCATCTAATGGCACTTCGAGGCCTGCTTCATCTAATGGCACTTCGAGGCCTGCTTCATCTAATGGCACTTCGAGGCCTGCTTCATCTAATGGCACTTCGAGGCCTGCTTCATCTAATGGCACTTCGAGGCCTGCTTCATCTAATGGCACAACAAGGTGAACGCGGCCACAGAGCATACAGCGTGATGGGGGAAGATAGATCAGAACCCCTGGTACTTCTCCTGTCTCTCGTTTCCCCAACCCATCCTTCCCCACCCATACTAACGCCCTCATTCTGCAAAGCTTACTGGCATGACGAGGTGAAGACGATAACCGACCGCACGGGGGCGCGGGCGGCAGCAGATGAGGAGGGGGGCGGCGCGGGGGGGAGGATGGTTTGGAGGGAGGGGAGGAGGCGGGAGAGGAGGCGGCAGAGGTAGACGTCCCGCACGTTGGCAGGCAGGAAGAGGTAGGATTGATCCAGAGCTTCGACCGTCTTAAAGCCCTCGTAGGCCTCAAAGTGGAACAGCTTCTTTGTTTTGCTCATAGCCTGCCGATGAGTAGGGGGTACAACGCACCGCACAAGGGGAAAACGGGGAAACCGGCATGGGTAATGGGCATGGGATGGGTTCTCGTGGGGCGGGAGAGGAGGGCAGAGGAAGACGTCTCGCACGTTGGAGGGCAGGAAGAGGTAAGCTTGATCCAGGGATTCCACTGTCTTGAATTCCTCGTCTGCTTCTAAATGGAACAACTTCTTGGTTTTGCTCATGGCCTGTGTGTGTGTATGTATGGGGTGCAGCGCACAGGAAACGGAGCAGATGCATGGGCATGGGGCATGGGGCATGGGCTGAGATGGGTTTTCATCAGTTGCAAGAGGAGGCGGCAGAGGTCGACGTCTCGCACGTTGGCGGGGAGGAAAAGAGGTACGTCTGGTCCAGAGCTTCCACTGTCTTAAAGCCCTGGTAGGCCCCAAAGAGAAACAGCTTCTTGGTTTTGCTCACAGCCTGCACGTGTGTGAACGGAGTGCATGGCATGGGATACAGTGCGGGGAAAATTGGGACGGGATGAAGGTTGCAGAGAACAGCAGCAAGTGCTGGGCATTCAATCTCTCCGCAGTGCACGGGGCAGGTTTGAGGGGCACATGCCGCTCCGACGTGTAGCCTTACCACCCACCTGAAGGGCGTCCTACACTCACCTTGAGTGCGTGCAGGTTGGCAGTGAAAGTAGCTGAGAAGAGCAGCGTCTGCCTCTCTTTCGGCATCCTCGCCAGAATCGCACCAATTTCCTCCTCAAAGCCACGGTCTAGCAGGCGATCCGCCTCGTCCAGGACTAAGAACTGGGGATGGGAGAGGATGGAGCGGATGGGAGGAGGAGAAGATGTAGATGGGATAAAGAAAACAAAAGAGGGTGCAGCAGAATTGTCGCTTTTTCCTCCTCGAACCCACAGTCTAGCAGGCGATCGACCTCGTTTAGGACCAGGAACTCCAGGCAAGGGAGGGAGGGAGAGGCGAATAAGGAGATGCAAATGAGGGGGAGGCGAATAAGGAGATGCAAATGAGGGGGAGGCGAATAAGGAGATGCAAATGAGGGGGAGGCGAATAAGGAGATGCAAATGAGGGGGAGGCGAATAAGGAGATGCAAAAGAGGGAGAGGCGAATAAGGAGATGCAAATGAGGGGGGGGCAAATAAGGAGATGCAAATGAGGGAGAGGCGAATAAGGAGATCCAAATGAGGGAGAGGCGAATAAGGAGATGCAAATGAGGGGGAGGCGGGGAGAAGGAAAGGAAAACAGAATCGGCACTATTTCCTCCTCGAAGCTTCGGTCCAAATAGTGGCAGATCGGCTTTTGAGTTGACTCAAAAGTCATAGTGGCAGATCGGCCTCTATCTCTTCCTCTAAGCCGCGGTCTAACAGGCGATCGGCCTCGTCCAACACCAGGAACTGCCGGGAGAGAGGGCGTGGGGAATGAGACACAAATGAGGGGGAGGGCGGAGAGGGGGGGAAAGAGAATCACCGTTGTTTCCTCCTCTAAGCCGCGGTCTAACAGGCGATCGGCCTCGTCCAACACTTATAACTGCGAAAAGCAGACAGTCAAGAGAAGGAGGAGGGGGGAGGGAAAGCGAGCACCGACAAGGGAGCAATAGGATCACCAGCAGTAGAATAAACTACCCAACCGACCCTGACCCATGCAAACCGCACCCACCCGCGCACCTGCAGGTTGCTGAAGATTCGCTCCATGCTCGCCTCCTGCTGCAGCATCTCCCTCAATCGCCCCGGCGTTGCCACCACCACATGCGGCCGACTTGCTAGCTGCATAGCCTGAATAGGCAGGCAGGGGGAGAGGCGGGGAGATGGGAGAGGGTAGAGGGGCAGCGGAGAGGGGTGGGCGAGTGGGGGCAGCTGCATTTGCAGATGAATGCAGCTACAGCTGACGGGCACCGGTAATGCCATGTGTAGCTTGCACGTCGGCCACAGTCCCTCCAGTAGCAGGCATGAAATGCAGAGGGAGACGACTCAAAAACTAAAACGCTCCAGAAAACCAAGCACCAAATCCCCATGCATGCCCTACTCAGCTCTCATCCATCTCCCCTAAATCAACCTCCCTCTTTCCCCCCAGTCGCTACAGCACCCCTTTTGAGTCGACTTGATTTTTTTTTTTTTTGAAGACCGGCTAACAACTCCAGGGCGCATCGTACACTCAACCCCCAAAACCCGCGCCCTCATTCTCACCTGCTCCACCATGTCACCCCCGCCGATAGCAATAGCGCAGCGCAGAGACAGCGACGACCCCAGAGCGCGGAACTGGTCGGCGATCTGCAGAGCGAGCTCCCTGGTGGGCGTGAGGACGAGCGCGAAGACCCCATAGGGATCCTCGGCTAGTTTCTGCACAGGTGAGTGGAGGGCAGGTGGAGGGGTGCAGGAGGGAAGAAAGGGTGGGGAGGGCAAGAGGGACCGTGAACTGGTGGTGGGCGATCTGCAGTGCGAGTCCCTGGTGGGCGTGAGGACTAGGACGAACACGCCGGCCATGACGTCGCTACCGGCGATGACGGGGAAAATGCACGCACACTGCAGTGGGTTCAGGGTTTTTAAAGGGCTCGGGGTTTAGACTGAAGAACCCACCTGCAGAATGGGCAGGGCGAAAGCAGCCGTTTTCCCACTGCCGGTCTGAGCCACACCAATCACGTTGCTCCCCGCAACGACGGGGGGGATGCACGCACACTGCACTGGGGTGGGATGGCGCAGACCCATCTCGTGACACGTGGCAACCAGCCATGGCGCCAGTGCCAGGTCAGCAAAGGAGTCACACGTGGCAGTGGCAGAGAGGGACACGTCAGCCTTGGCGAGGAGCGCAGTTGCTGCTGCGTCGTCCTCCTCTGTTCCTCCGTCCTCTGCTTTATCCTCCTCCCTCCCCTCTTCTTCCTCCTCCTCGTCCCCTTCACTACCATCATCCATCTCCTCTTCTTCCACCTCCCCCTCTTCCTCTCCTCCTCCCTCCTCCCCCTCCTCCCTCTCCCCATCCGCCTCTCCATCAACAAACGCCTTCCTCCCCTCCCTCCCGCCCATCCGCTTCCGCCGTCCCCCGCGTCCCCTCTCCCCCATCGGCTCCCTCGCCTGCGCGCCATCTCTGCTGACGTCACTTGCCTCCTCACCACCCCTGACGTCGCCATGTGTGCGGCCACTCTTGTCCACGTCAGCACCGCAAACACCCCTCTGCGACTCCTCGCCTCCCCGTAAAACTCCGCCTTCCGCAAAATCTCCCTCCTCGTTTCCTCTTCTCATCCCCTTAAACCCGACACCCTGAACCCTGCGCGCAGTCAACGAATTTACACTCAAGGCTTTCTTATGCGAGGCTAACGAGGGATCTGCCGGGCGACTAGCCTTAGCTTTACTCGTATCGTCAACCCCTAATGCTTTACGCTTCTTTGCACCATGACCCTTCGCAACAGCACTGGTGGGGCTTGCTGCTGGTAACCGCTCTCGTAACGATTTCGCTCTCTTATCCGTGGCCTCGTCGGCCGTCCCCGTTACAGTTACGCTCGCGCGCTTTGCAGCATTCGCAGCCGCGTCGTCCCCGCTTCCCGATCTAGCTGCGGCGTTTTTCGTCTTCCTCGCTTTCAGGAACTTCGACGAGAACAAGGGAGGCGCTTCGAACGCCATTGCAACGACCCAGGAATGGTTTGCTTGCAACGGTAACTTTCCCTCTATCACCGCCCTAGAATCAGTCGCTAATGACTTGTATGTAGCTCGACCTGTCACCCAGACGGGATCGATCTTACTGCAGACAAATTCGACCTAGCTGCTCTCGGCGTAACGTGAAATGATGTATAGCGATCGACGTCCGTTTTCGAGTCACTGCTCTCTTTTGTGAGCGCTATTGCTGCGCAGAGAAAATGCCGTTCATTTGTTCTTGGCTGAGACAACCTACAGAACCTGGTTTGTGTCGCGATCGGCGACATCAGTTTCCATTGGCGATGTGTTCGCCAAGTTGACATTCGCGAGAGTTTGCCAACGGTTACCTAGAACTGCGAGCTTCCGTCGTTGTTACGAGAACTTTTTCGCCAGGGAAACAGCGAAATCAGTTCATTGTAGGTAACCGGAAATCTTCGAAATAGTATTTCCTGTACCCAATCGAAACGAGAGTTTGTAGTGAGACAGAAACGGCTTTCACTTAGAGCAAAAACGGGCGGCTCGGATAAATTCCTGATCAGTGAGCTTTGGCGAATCTGCAAGCGAGGAAACGTATAGGACGGTCGATTAACATCTTGCGGCGCTAACCCTACCGCGGCAGTTCAGTGTTAGCCTCGCAACTTGAAGTACGCGTTTTATCGTGGCAGTGATGCCCGCCGCTCGCGTGGTGATCAGAGTCAACTCATGAGCAACTTATGAGCACGTTCGTGGAATCTAGCTCTAGACGCGACTCTGAGAGGCTTCGCCGACGTGCTTGCGCGCGCAGCGCAGAGCAACGTGAATGGCTTCTCACCGGGCATTCGGTTCAGGCGGCGCAATCCACGCGTCCAAGACTCAACGGGTTGCTCCTGACGCGGAGTCGCCTCGCAACCCACCTCACATCACTGGTCTCCGCAGCCTAGCCGTCGCACGATCGAACCATCGCTCTTCCATCCCCTCCATTCCTTCCTGTCCTTTCAATTCCTTCCACTCCCCGCGTCCCCATTCCCTCTCCCATCTCCTCGCCCGCCCTTGCTTCCGTTACCCCTTTCAGCCGTTCCAGAATCCATTTCCATGCCAACGAGTGTTGATACTCCTCACCCCACGCCTGTGCACACACCACGCACGCACCACCACACCTCACTCCTCTCAGCTCCTCACCCCGCTCTCGCCTGCACAGAGGGAACTTAGGGGTCCTGTTTCCGCCCTTCTCTTCACCCGTCCACACGCTTTCACACGGTTTCTCCAACAGAAGAGGCTCGGCCGAACCATATCCGAGCTTCCCCCTTCCGTCCGGTCCACAGAGGAATGGTCCGAGCCTTCAGCCGAGCCTCGGACACTCGTCTCCCCCTTGCCTGATCCTCCTCTGCTTCCTCTGCTGCTGCTGATTCCAATGCTGCCTCTGCTGCCACTGCTGCCGCTGCTTGTTTCACCCACTCGAGGCATTATCAGGGGAATAGCCGGTGCGGCTCTTTCGCCTCGCAACAGCACTGCTGCTGCTGCTCTCTCCCAAGTCAGAAAACTCCTAAGCGGCGGAGTGCGAGCGCTGCTGCTATCTGGTCTTCTCCTGATGGGTGCTGCAGCCTTGGGAGTGAGAGCAGCACCAGCAATAGCAGCTACATCTTCAGTTACAGTTACATCTTCAGGGCCAGCCCAAACCAGACAAGCGGGAGGCGTAGCAAACAAACGGAGCAGGAGGCTTAAAGCCAACGCGTTCGTTCGGCTCGCAGCCAATCGCGTGGTGCCAGCTGTCGTGCAGCTAGAGGTGGAAAGGTAGGCTTTGCGACCGTGTCCTTTGTGTTCAGAATATTCTGTCCGCAAAAAGTTTTGCAAGATTTCTTACAAGGAACGTTATGCTCCACTGATACTTAGGGATAAGCGGACCCCCCTGAATGTATCCTTAGGGATAAGCGGACCCCCCTGAATGTATCCTTAGGGATAAGCGGACCCCCCTGAATGTATCCTTAGGGATAAGCGGACCCCCCTGAATGTATCCCAGTCTTGGAGACGCCTCATACCCACCCATTCCTCGCCTGTCTGTGTCTACCGTGCTTCCAGGCATCTTCCTCGGGCATCGCCGCAAGCAACCTTGAGAAAGGGGGAGGAGGGCAGCGGGGAGGAGGAGGCAGAGGGGCGGGGCAGTGTGGATGGCGGGGAGGAGGATGAGTTCAGGGAGACAGGTGGGTTCGGATCATATCAATACAGCACTACAGCAGTATGGCTATGAGAGCATGTTTACATCGTAGACACATGCCATGTCCTGTTTTGAGACGTCTCAAAACACTCCTTTTTTCACGTGTTTTGAGACGTCTCAAGACACATGCCATGTCCTGTTTCCGCACACTGTGACCCATGCCCTTCTGTTCGCTCTCCCTCGTTTTTCTTTTCTCCTTGCTTCCCCCATCTCACACCTTTTTCACATCGCTCGTTTCTTCCACCATCCCGTTCCACCGTGCAATGCAACCAACCCATTCTATTGATGCTCCCGCAGACGACGTGATGTTTCTGGCGAAATCCGATCCGAATGCAAGCACTGACAGAGCGGATGGCTGCAGCACTCGCCTGGCATCCTCTTCATGGCCGCACGAGCCTCGAGTGGGGGCGTGGTTGCGCCGACTCAAGGAGAGGGGGAGGTTGGAGGCCAAGGCCAAGGCACCCGAGACATACACAGAAACTAGTGTGTGAGCTTTGTTGCTTCTTTCAATCCACTCTTGTCTTTCGTGAGTGCCACAATTGCCCATTAGACGCACAAGCGTTGAGTGGGGGCATGGCTGTGCAGACTCAAGGAGAGGGCGAGAATGGAGGTCAGGGAAAAGGCGAAGACCAAGGCACCGGAGGCGTTCACAGAAACTAGTGTGAGAGCCTTGCTGCTGTGTTGCCATCCACGTTGCTCTATCTGCCATTCGCCACTGCTGTGTCTGACGTTCCATGCACTCTCGCCTGGCACCATCCTCATGGCCCCACAACATCCCTCCCTCCCTCCTTCCATCCCTCCCTCCCCGTCCAACTTCCCTCTTTCCCTCCCTCCCACCCTGTCCTCCCTTTTCTCCCTTCCCACCCATCAGCGGCAGCAGTTTTATCATCAGCAGCACTCAGCAACTGGTGCAGGAACCACTTGGTGAAAAAACCAGTGTGAATTTACTTCTGTGGATGCCTCAAAATACACTCGCCCCCATTCCATCCCTTCGTCCCTTCCTCTCCACCCACCCGCGGCAGCGGGTTCGTCAGTAACAGCACTCAGCGGCTTAATAATCTGTTTCAGCGACTTAAGAATGCTTTCTATACAAGCCGCTCCTAAAGCCGTCCTTACCTCCCTTCTTCCCCCCCGTCCCCCTTTTCCACCCACCAGCGGCAGTGAATTCATCGTCAGCAGAGTTCAACGGCTGGTGTGTATACCACATAGTAATAACCTCTTATAAGAACGCCTTGATGCCGCCCTTCCCTTTCCCTTCCTCCCCCCCCGCCCTTACCGGCCACCCACCAGCGGCAGCGGGTTCATTGTCAGCAGTGCTCAGCGGCTGGTGCTCACCAATGCTCATGTGGTGGACGGGGCAGCGAGAGTGACGGTAAGGGGAGTGCTCATGTGGTGGACGGGGCAGCGAGAGTGACGGTAAGGGGAGTGCTCATGTGGTGGACGGGGCAGCGAGAGTGACGGTAAGGGGAGTGCTCATGTGGTGGACGGGGCAGCGAGAGTGACGGTAAGGGGAGTGCTCACGTGGTGGACGGGGCAGCGAGAGTGACGGTAAGGGGAGTGCTCATGTGGTGGACGGGGCAGCGAGAGTGACGGTAAGGGGAGTGCTCATGTGGTGGACGGGGCAGCGAGAGTGACGGTAAGGGGAGTGCTCACGTGGTGGACGGGG